GTTGGGGAGAGATGGGCCATTTACCTCTGCGCCATGGCAGCCATGCCATGGAGTTCCGCAGGGGTCCATTTTGTCCCCCTTGCTATTCAACATCTACATGAAACCGCTGGGAGAGGTCATCCGGAGGTGTGGGCTGCGGAATCATCAGTATGCTGATGACACCCAGCTCTACCTCTCGTTTTCCACCAATCCAGGTGAGGCAGTGGCTGTCCTGAACCGGTGCCTGGCCGAGGTAATGGGCGGATGAGGGCCAATAAACTGAAGCTCAATCCAGACAAGACGGAGGTCCTGTTGGTGGGTGGTTCGGACTCTGGGGTGGGGGACCTGGACCTTGTCCTGAATGGGGTAGCACTCCTTCTGAAGGACAGGGTCTGCAGCTTGGGGGTGCTCCTCGACCCAAAGCTGACCTTGGAAGCTCAAGTGTCGGCGGTGGCGAGGAGCGCTTTCCATCAGCTTCGGCTGATCCATCAGCTGCATCCCCACCTGGAGGACGATTGCCTGGCGACAGTGATGCATGCATTGGTCACTTCCCGATTAGACTTCTGCAATGCGCTCTACATGGGGCTGCCCCTGAAGACGGTCAATTGGTGCAAAATAGAGCTGCCAGGTTGCAGACGGGGACTGGGCGTTGTTCTCATATAACCCCAGTTCTTCGTCAGCTTCACTGGCTCCCCTTTGAAGTCTGGGCCCAATTCAGGGTGCTGGTGCTTACCTATAAAGCCCTAAACGGCTTGGGACCTGGGTACCTGAAGGAGCGCCTGCGTCCATACTTGCCCTCCTGCCCTCTAAGATCCGTGGCAGAGGCCCTTCTCCAGGAACCCTCCGTAAAGGATATTAGGAGGGTGAGTACCCGGAGGAGGGCCTTCTCTGTGGTGGTGCCCCATCTGTGGAATGCGCTCCCCAGAGAGGTCCGCCTGGCACTGTCGTTATTTGCTTTTCGGCGCCAGGCAAGACATTTTTATTTAACTGTTATTTTAATTGATTGTTACATTATTTATTGCTTTTATCTAACTCTGGGATGTTTCCAATTCTGTATATTTTTGTATATTGTTATTTATTTGTTGGAAGCTACCCCGAGGCTTTTGCGAATGGGGTGGCATACAAGCACTCCAAATAGATAGACAGACAGACAGACAGACAGACTAGGGGTCGGCAACCTTTAACACTCAAAGAGCCATTTGGACCCGTTTCCCACACAAAAGAAAACACCGGGAGCCGCAAAACCCTTTTGACATCTGAAATGAAGATAACTCTGCATATATCGTTTTTTACCTTAATGCTATGTATATCTTCATTATGATTTAGCTGCAGCTCTTGTTCAGTCACTAAAAACTGTTATTTTTAATCTTACATTCTAAACTAATAGGACTCCTTTCATATATTTTGAATAGGAGAACAGCTTCCTGAAGAGTCAAAGTCAATGCTAAAGGGCTGCATGCATTAAACAGCAAGCCCCATAGGTTTGTCAGCAGTAAAAGCCAATGAATCTACTCACGTATCATTAAACGTTTGGTTTTCTTCAGAAACTTTTCTTCGATTTATCCATGGTTGGCCTACGGGGAAGGGGGGGAGTTCAGTAAATTGACGTGGGTCCGCAAATCGGCAGCTGTGCCGGAGATATAGGTGTGTTTAGTCACTGATTAGCAGATAAACAGTCAAGTGCTGTGAATTGTGACAGGTCCCAAGTGTAGCTTTTAACATTCAGATGAAGGAGATGACATTGGGACGAAGAGAATCTTTTCAGCGCATTTCGTGTAACATGAGAGCCTGCAGGAACCTTGTTTAGCGGAGGAAAGTAGTGATTTACTTAACTAGCTGATTTACTTAACTAGCTGATTTACTTAACTAGCTAGCGCTGCGTTCCTGAGTGGAGCTTCGAGCAGATCAGCGGCTGTGCCGGCGCATGTTTTGAGCGACCGAGCCGCAGCAGAGGGGTGCAAGAGCCACGTGCGGCTCCAGAGCCGCGGGTTGCCGACCCCTGGGCTAGACATAGGCGAGGATCAGTACTTGGAGCTCTCCCCATCCCCACTGCTATCTCCAGTCTGAGGTCAAAGAGAGCAGGGACCAGAGCAGAGGTAGCAGCTGAGATGCCCTTCAAGGAGTTTCCTCTAGGGGGCAGGGCTTGGAGCCGAAGCGCTGCCCCTGGAGGAATCCCAAAAATCAGCACCAGCCCTATTGGGGTGCCCTCTGGCCGCTTGGGGCCCATGGGCTGGAGGTTCTCCCCGCCTTGATTTATGTGGGGCTTTTTGACTGCACAAAAGTGGGTGGGGGAGGCAGAGGCTTGTATAAGAATTCCGTGGAAGTTTGAAATCCTAGCTCAAGCTGTTAGCCGTGATGCCGCAGTAGTTCTCATAACAACATGTACTTCTCACTTTGCTTAATTCCCAACCTTTAGCAGGAAATAGTATTTGAAAATGCAGTACTGGGAGCAATGGATATGTAACATAAACAGTTGCATGTGTCTGCTCTTGGCATAGAGCTCAAACGCGTTTGCAAATTCTGGATGCTTTCAGTGCAGAAGTTTCACAGTCCTGTCTCAGCCATTTTAAGCACAGATGGTGGGAGAGGCTTCTGGTTCCTTCATAATAATTTGCAGATTAACAAGAAGCAAATGGAAAGTGGGAAGTGAGTCTAGAAATTTGGGTTGTCCCCTTAAACTGATTGTCAGGAGATTCAGGGCAGACCAACGGAAAGAGTTCTTCGTGCCTGATTCATTCATGATCTTTGTTGCCACAAGCAGTGGCCATTGCTGTCTGCATTAATCTACCTCAGTGCCAGTGGCTATGAAGCAGCAACAAGGGAATACTCTTTTCTCCCTGCCAAGGCCCTTCTAGGATGGCATCCCAGAGGTTCCAGGTGCCACTGCAAAAGAGGATGCTGGTCTAGATGGTTCTTTGCTCTGGTCCAACAATTATATTTTCCTAACTGGCCTGAAAGCTTACCAGAGAAACTCAAGGCCTCAGGAATGTGAAATGATTCCTTTGCTAGCTACTTTGTAGTGAATTGCCATTTACAGTAATTAGTGTTTGATTCCTGAAAACTATTTCCTACACTAAAGGGATCTTACATCTTAATATTTTAGTGAAATAAATGCTACAGGGTGGGCTAACAAAAGGCTAATCTTGGTTAAAGCTTAGTACTGCAGTAGTTTACTTCTTTTGGAATATTTAGATCAGTGGTTCCCAACTTTTTCTAGGCCCCACGTTCCTAGAAAATGTTTGATAAATTTTCACACCCTCTACTAAAATAATACTACATTTGACAATGAGATAAAATTTCAAATTTTTGAATCACAAATTGACCCACATACGGTACTGCAGGTGAGCAAATTGAGCTTGAAAAATAAGCTTTTAACTCAGTGCATAAAATTCAAATATAAATTGAGCAATTAGAAAAAAATGGTAAGCAGTAAAATCAATCCCTGATTATGAAAGATAATCCAGTGATTTCTTTGTTCTTGCTTCTCATTAATGATTTTATCAAAACGTAGGACTTCTTGCTGATTGCAATTCACCAGTCTGCCTGTGAACTGGCTCTCACCAGGTCTGCCTGGTGAGAGCCAGTGTGGTATAGTGGTTAAGAGTGCGGGACTGGGACTCAGACGATCCGGGTTCTGGTCCCCACTCGGCCATGGAGCCAACTGGGTGGCTTTGGGCCAGTCACAGACTCTCAGCCCAACCTGCCTCACAGGGTTGTTGTGGGGTAAGATAGAGGAGGAGAATGATGTAGGCTGCCTTGAGCCCTTTGTAGGAAAAAGGCAGGATATAAATTAAAAAAAAAATTCTTTTTGATTGACCAAAAAGAACTGACTCCAAATTTAAACAAAATAATACATGATTTTATTATTGGGATAATTTTTGGTGAATTACTCTTTCTGGCACCCCCTGAAATGCCATCCCACAGCAGGGTAGGAACCCCTGATTTAGCGGAAGATCTTTTCTAGGAGCATTCCGACAGTCACAAGGGTTCCGTCTCTTGTTTCCATAGAATTCCTTAGACTTCAAGGAGTCGAGAGAAGCGGAACCTCATCCCCTGTGGGAGTACCCTTGCAAGCCAACATCAGATCCATTGGAAGTCTTTGCCTTTGATTTCCAGCAACCCGTGCCAGAACATGCTATGAAGAAAGAAGGCATTCTAAACCTGTCCAGGTGAGCATTGTCAGGTATATGGACAGAGTGTGATCAAAGCTGTAGCGTGATGGTCACCACAGACACTGCTGTGGATCATGTCCTCTGAGCCCCTGTATGTACAATATGATGCTAATGATATCGACCAACTTAGTGCAGCTGCAGGGAGAATGTCTGAAGTACCTCGAACATCTTAGCAATGTTTTGTGCCCATTAAGTATAAAGCCATTTGGTACAAATAGAATTTTTGGGCTGGTTTAGGAATGGAAGCTGCCATCATGGCCTTCAGTTGGGGTGGATGGGAGCAGATCCATATTGATTCCGTTGAGATTCAGCAGGGTGTGAGAGCTATCGACTCTGGGATCTTTCTGGATGGACTTGCCCACTTGGAATTTTCAGGGCTTTGTACTTAATAGTTCCATGTTTTCCTCTGTGCTTTTTAACATCCGCACGAAACTGTTGGCTGAAGAGGTTTGGTATACAGAGTTAGCAGTGTGCTGAGGACACTTTGTTGTTGTTAGTCATGAAGTCGTGTCCGACCCATCACGGCCCCATGGACAACATTCCTCCAGGCCTTCCTGTCCTCCACCATCCCCCAGAGTCCACTCAAGCTCATGCCAACTGCCCCAGTGACTCCATCCAGCCACCTCATCCTCTGCTGTCCCCTTCTCCTTTTGCCATCTATTGTTCCCAGCATTAGGCTCTTCTCCAGGGAGTCATTCCTTCTCAGAGGACACTTAGTTTTGCCTAATATTCCCCCCAAGTAAATCTAGGGAGGCAGAAGATGTGCTGAAGCAATGCCTGAAGTCAGTATGGCAAAGCTGAGGGGAAGCAACTTGAGTCCACAATTGGCAGAAGTGTTGTTAGTGGGAAACTCTGCCACTCTAGTGGGAACAGACGACCTGCTCCCAGCCAAGCATATGGCATGGAAGCTGTGCCGACAGCCCTAATCCTACCTGGAGAGCTTGGGCCAGTGGCCAAGTGGGGCTTCTATCGATTCGGCAGATCCCTGTCTACAGACACTAGACCTCAGTTCGGTTAGTACATGCACTGGTGATAGCTGTACTGGATTACTTTTTTCCCCCTGGAATTGCCCTGAAAAACCACTTGGAAGCTTCAAGTGGGGTCAAGACCTGGCCCCCCAGGCGCTGGTGGGACGTGGGACAAGGAGGTTGGAACGCAGAACCCCTTCCAGCAGAATGCAGCTGGCTCTCAGTTTGCTTCCGGGCTCAATCGACGGTGCTTGTTCTGAGCTTGAGAGCCACGAGTTGCCGGGGGAACCAGCCTATCAATGACTTTGTCCTTGTTAACCTGCCCGGGCTTTCTGGCCTTCATATCTGGCCCTGCTCTTTGGTATCCTGCTGAATCATACTCATCAGTGATTACTGGAACCCAGACTGTTTTTCCCAGTGAAAGAAAGGTTGTGCCCCACTCCATGGGGAAATTATCAAGCTCCCACCCCTTCTGAAATCAACAGCTGCCTGTTTATTTTTCTTTACTGCAGTTTTGTGCCACAGTAAAAATATTTTGCACCCTCGCAATGCTGAGTCTCTTGTGTGCATGAATGGGTAACAGATCCAGTCAAATCCATTTGAAAAATCAAAGGGGGTTGAATACCTCTCTGCTACTCTCTCCCTCGAAATGCAGGGCTTGGCACCAAGTTTCAGAGGGCCCTGGCGAGGTGCCAGTTGGATCCCTCCCCAGCAGCACAAGCTGGGGCTTGGATGCCAGTCGCCATGTAGAATTTTGTGCAGTGTCAGAGTGTTGGATGGAGCAATGCCATGTTGGGAATCTGTCACACTCCATTGCATGTTGCATGGCCAGGGAGGTCCTTGGACCAGCTGCTGTCCTCACATCGGTGCAAAGCTGGAGAGCTGCCCTTGCTGGACTTACTGGTGGCATCTGGCTGTGCCCCTGAACTTTGGCACCTGGCCTATGTCAACTCCATCCTCAACATCTTCCCCTTCCGTGAAATCTTGGCACAAATTCACTCCATTAGCCTTTCTTCTCTCTTCCTTCCTATAACCTCCTCTGCTGTCAACATTTTAGATGCCAAAGTCCTCCAGGTGGGGGATTGGTTCTGGTTTTGTGCTCAGGTTAATCTGTAAGGGGCATTGTTTAAATACTAAATGGTAGTATTGACTCTGTTTCACTCCTGGGAAGTGTTCAGAGGGATGCATGTTCTTTGAAAAGTTTCCCTTAACAATGCTTTTCTAGTCCTATAGTTCTGCATGTTTAGAATAATTTTAAGGAGCCCCCATCTGAGGTTACATGCTGTTCCTAATGAATAATGTATGAATTACATTGTGACATACGATGGAATTGATTTATAATGACGTTTATTTCTCCTCTCCAAATATGACCATCTGTTCCCTGGCTGATCATTTCTTTCCGAACCTGCATGCAGTGTATGATATCAGTCTACCAAATTATGGTGTTATTGCTGTACCAGCTGTAAAATATTGGAACATTCTGTGCAGTGAAGATCAATATTTGCCTGTAAAATGATCCTTATTTAAACATGAAGCGTAGATTTTTTTTCTCTGGGAACCATATCCTATATCTTGCACTAGCAAACAAGTTATGTCAGTTGCACCTCAGAGATTTTTAGGCTATAACCAGAAGAGTTTGAAGGCTTCAGAAATTGTGCTTATAACATTTTCATGGACAAAAACCAAGATTTTTTAAAACACACTGAAAGCCCAGAATTCCAGAGCCTAGAATGAGTACATGCAATGTGCAGTTAACAATGTAAATACGATGATAATTCTGAATGATACAGTGATTTAACTGTCATGCACAGACAAGGACTCTTTTGCCATGGCTCCTTTTTCTCTTTCCTCTGATCCTAATTAAAAAGCCACGCAAGCCACTGCTTTGAATAATCTGTTAAACCTTATCTGCTGGTAATGAAATGTAGGTTAAAATGCACATTCAGATGTATGCTTGGATTACAGCTAAGTTTCATTATTAAGTTTGCGTGCAGAGAATTAACAAAAACGGAGCTCTCAAGAAATTGGGGGCTACGTAGGATTTGCAGGAAAATTAAGGGCTGAAAGTGCCATGAATGCAACCCCTGAAGCCACAATTAGAGCAAACGATCTGCAGTTTTGCTTCCAGCTTCAACATCTCCTGTGTAAATATTAGAACACCAGGAGCTTTTTGTTGGTAAGAAAAGGGGGAGGGGGGAGGACTGAGCTCTTCACAGCGTCACACCTCCCGACTTCTCCTTGTCAGTGAGCACCACCTCACAGTGAGATCTAATGCGTCACTTCGGCCACAGTTAATCACATCTGGGAAAAACATTGGGCACACACTTCCTTCTCCTCTAAATTCTCTCATGCTGAGGCAGCTTCCCTGTTTCAATAGCCAAAACTGCCACCAGTCCCAGATTGCTAATTGCTAGTCCCTGAAGTGCTAGCCAGAATAATAAGAGAGAAGGGTTTTTTTTTATCATGTTTCTAGCCCTCATGACAGGTGTGATTTCAGTGATAGGAGATTATAGTTCACTAATAATCACCCCTGTTTAACTCCCAGTCTTGCAAACATATTCATTTCTGCCTCTTTATTGTACAGTCCATTTTTATTTTCTTTAGTTTACCCTTCTGAATAGTCCCCCTGAAAACTGGGAGCATTGTCCAACATACAATGCTTACTCTTATCAAAGATTTGTGCTTGCTTTCTTTCCTTAGTCTTCTGCACACCTGAATTGTGGAAATAAGACTCTTAAATAATGGACACCCTCTTTCCTGGCCACTGGAAGGGTTTTCAGGGTCCTCTTTAATCTCAAAGCCTTTGGTAGATAACATTTTGAAGCTTACCTCTGCAATTCTGAAGTCTAGAGCATTTGTTTTTAAATAAAAGAATGCACAAGAAATAAGACCTTTGCTTTACTCATTCCACTGCATAAACCACGTGCTATTTTTCCTTCTTTCTCTTTGTTCTGACCTTTCATGTGTTACTTCAGGTATTGTCCAGTAGGCATCACTTTGCTTTCCAAGATTTCAGGCTCCCATAGCTTAGCATTCTTGCCTGTTCATCGGTTGGATCCAGGCTGTCGATTAGGGAAGATGGCATTTATATTTCAAAAGGAGTTTGCGCACCGCTTAATGTGCGTGCTGGCCTGCTGGTACTCTTCAAAGCATGCAGGAATCGATACCTGCACCTTTTTCTTTCCAGAACTGGGAGGAGCCACGGGGCTGTTCTGTGGATGGAATATCATCTGACACCTGGCCTTTCTGTAAGCACAGGGCTTGTGCAGCATTCGGATGAAAAGGTATTTGCCTAATTCTCTTTCATCCGTGGTCCATAGAGGGGAGGATGGGAAAGAATCTTAAATTGCAATAAAGAAAATTCTCTGTGTGCTGTTCAATTCCAGCTCTCACTCACTTCTTGATTTATCAGCACGGCTTGAGTTCTCTGAAATACTGCAATAATTTTTAAAATAAGTAACCTCAGATCTGTATGTGTAATGTTTACATGGACACATGGAGACTATCACACAATCAGCTTGGTAGTGTGTTTATGCTAAAAAGCTGCACTGGAAACAGAATTTACACACATGTTTCAGAAGTCAGAATCTGCCAGAGATATTCCAAGAAAGTTGTTTTTCATTTTTGCTCCATATACTATGCATAAGATGTTGATTACAAACCAGGGTATAAAACTTGCTTGGATACACCTGCTTACAGTTGGAGCCAAGCACATGTACTCAGAAGTGAAGTCTGTGCTTCCTTAAAAGAATTTAATGCTTTACAGAGGATTAGCTATTTGACATCCCAGTTTAGGGATTCATCTGCTTGCATCCATTTCCTATTCCTGAGGAGTAAATCCAGACAAAATTGCACTATGAACTTCTGCACCAGGCGCCAGAGCTCAAACACGGGCAGCAATTTCCTGCCTGTTTGGAGCACACACTGGTCTGAGAATTAGTTCCGTGAAGCAACGTGCGGATAATCTATAGCAAAACCAGGGAGAGGCATTTCTTTTTCCACCTCTTCTCACCAAGCCTGCTTTGCCCTGAATTGAGATGGCTTTGAGTTGACAACTGGATTTTATGTCTTAAAGCAGAGGACTTGCCATGACCCTACTCCTTTCACCCGCCCAGTGGCACTGGGGCGAGTAGAACTTGAAGTCATCACACCCCTGGCAAAGCCCAGTTGGGCTCTTTAAGAGGGTGCCTACGCGGACGTCCTGGCGGCAACAACCTGCCAGCCTTCTCCCACTAGCAACTCCCTGAATTTTGTAACATCTTACCTGATGGAGAGCTTGAGTCCCGCACTTTGGTGATCTTTGGTCCTAATACAGTGCCAGACACGGCTGCCTTTATTTTTGTAGGAAAATGGTTGCGGTTGTTCTTCAGAAGATCAGGTATCTTCACTCTGACCTGATATTCTTCCGGTTCCTTTCTGCAGGGCTATTCCCAATGGACTCCTCATCGCAAGCAGGCCGTGTACTTCTTCCGCTCAGTTACTGAGCCAGAATCTGTGCTCAATGACCCCTCTGCAGTTGCATATGTTATAACCTTCAACCCAAAGACTGGAGAAGTGATGATGGATTTTAAATTCTTAAATTAATGTCATATCCTTCCACTCAAATTCCCCCCAACCCGGCTAGATCTCAATAAATATATTGGCAGGTGGCTGTGCCAGGCTCCTCTTTTCTGGGGGCACAATAGCAGTTATTGATCATATTGATTGCAGGGTATGGTCTGAAGGACTGTAATGCAGCAGCCTTGATAAAACTGAGCTGCTCTGCTTCTGATTAGTGCCCTGATGGGAGATCTCTCGGGAAACCCAGCTGCACAATTAAGGCCTAAATAGACGCAACTGGAAGCCTGATGTTGGCTCCAAATAGTGGCAACATTGGTGGGGGAGAGCAGGGGGCATGCTCAGAGGCTGTACAGACGCAGGGCTTTCCTGTCAGTGTACAGACAATCCATTTATTTATTGCTTTTTTAATCTGTCCAGCAACCAGTGTTTTCTGACTAGCCTGCCCAAGTTAAAAGAATGCAATTCTGTTCAAATTATTAAAAGAAAAGGGTACAGTCCAAAGCAACAAACACCACTAATGGTGATTATTGGTAAATATTAGGTAATCCTAATGATATAAAAAGCCATAAAATTCTAAGTAAGTCTGCAGATTCCTGGGAGAAAGGAGAGAGAAGAAGGCAGGCTGGCTTCCTTTGGGAGAACATTCAAGAAATGGATGTCAGCACGGAGAAGGCCTTCATTCATGTAGTAGGAACATGGCTTCCTTTTGTGGAGGTGGCCAGAGGTAAGAGCAGGTGCATGAGGACACTCTGTCTCAGAGTGGTGTTTGAAATGATGTTTATGTCATGCAAATAAGGGCTCGTGGGGCCAGACCATCAGCCTCCCTCTTCCTTCTGGCTTCAACCAAGGCTGAGGCTGAAAGATGCTGTATTAGCCAAAGGGCTACCTGTGGCTGATTCAGGTCCTGAACCCAGGCCCAGTCAGTCCTACTGTTCACCCTGTTTACTGACCTCTGGGTATCTCGGTTTCCCTTCTTGTTTATCTTAAGCAAGATGAACTCCCTGCGTGCAAAACTGGGCCTCCATACTCTGTCTAAGGGGCTGTTTTCCAAACATTCAGAGTTCGCATGTTCCAGTCCCCAACTCTTGCCGTTTCAGTCAAGAGGATCTTGAAAGCAAAAGACAGGAATGAGCAGTACCTTAAAACAGGAGGTGCTTTGCAAAGCTGGGTGCAGCGAAGGAAAGAGTGTGCATCCAAGACCATATTGGACCTTGGAATCCAGCTGGTTGAGCTTCTGATTCATTTGCTGGGATCCTGCTTCAGTGCATTTTAGGGAATTTGGGAGCATATTCTAGTGCAGCTCATTATCCCAGAACTCTTCTAAGGCTAGCGGTCTTTAGTAGTAGAAGATCAGTCGAAGATGGCAAGCAATTTTTCAAGGACGTACTTTTATGTAAGCTCAAAAAGTATATGCAAATAAATGATCTGAATAAGTTCCCATGTTCTTCTGTTTTGTGTTATGAAGAAAAAGAGAAAATATTATTTAAAAAGAGTTACTGACCCAGTTACTGACAATATCTTGATGGAAGTCCAAGCAACTCCAGGATTCTTTGGGCTACAAATTCGGGTGGGACTGCATGATGCAGGAAGATTGTTAGTCTGATGGGTCTATGTAGGGGAAGTTGATCTGTCCAGAACTCTCATAGGGCAGGATATCCATCCCTTTAGGGAACCACAGCTGGGTGCTAAAGCCCTCATTAACATAATCTGGGGGTGTACTGCCTTTCTATATGACGCTGGAATGGTACTTAATAGAAGAGGTTTGGAGACGGCTATGGACTAGCTTTGGGAAGCTTGCAGTAGAAAATATACAGTGCACTTTTATTCTGTCTTAGGTACTTTACTGCAAACTCATTCTTTCCATGTAGCCAGAATGGCACAAGCCACACACAAGGGGGGTGACAGGTGCAGAGGAATGCAAATCTTTGGAGGAATGCAACAATTCTGTAGGGGGAAGCTCGTCAAGACACCTTCCTCAAAGACTGAAGATGCTCGGCTGCCGTAAGTTGGCAACTTGCCTAAGGGAGTGCGATGGAGTGGCCTATCTTGGAGGAGGGCTTGGCCGACTTGCCAGTGGGCTGGAACCCTGGGCAGAACATTCCACTGCATGTGGAGGTTCCGTATGTTGCAAGCCCTCCTCGCTTTTTAAACAGATGAGTCCATTAAACTTCTAAAGTTAATGAGCAGTGGACTTGCAGCCTTCCAAATACTGCAGCTGCCAGTGTTGCCTGGAATACTTTCAGTGGCGATTAATTCCTTTGGCAACTCAGCAGCGCTAGAATAGAACTCCAAAACACAGTCCCCTTTAGCATTCCTTTCGTGTGCGTCATCGTTGTTTGATAATTATGTTGCCACTGGCGTGTTGTTAGGAATACCTTTTTGGTAACAGCAAACCAATAATCCAGCAACAGAGAAACCCCATGCAATGACTGACAAAACCCAGCGCTCACGTAAAAATAGCATAAGCAGAACCCACTTTCTTTAACCTCTGAGGTACCAGTGCTTTTTACACTCGTAATATGCAAAACTAGAGTGGAAAACCTGGTGCCGCAGGGGCTGAACAGAAATGGGCCCCACATAGACATTTGGGGATGGGTGTCGATCTGATCTTCCAAGCAGATTTGGAAATCCTGAGCTGGAAGGAGGCGGCAGCATTGGCTGGAGGGAGAACAGAAGAGGGACAGTCACAGTATGTAGTAAAAGAGCACTAAAATGGATCAGCATGGCTAGGTTGATGATGGGCCAGGGAAGGCCAGGTGGGCAGGTATGTTTTCAGAAAACATTTGAAAGATTTTCTGCTTCCTGAGCTGGGCGAGGGAGGGCTTTTCCAAAGGGGAGGCCACTGCTGGGAAGGCCAGGTTGAGGTACTGCATGGCAAGGTTCCTGTTGCAACCTCCTGCTCCTGTTCACCAGGAAATGCATCCAGAGGCACAGTGGACTTGTGGAAGGGGGCATGCCCTTGAAGACCATTCCTCATTGCAAAGTTCATCAGAAGCTGGAGAATGTTGGTGGAAACCTGGTACTGTCTCTTGCTGGGACACCCCCCCACACACACACCATTCCTGATGGAGCCAGGCAGCAAGTGAGCAGAGCTGTTGAGAGAGGCATACATTCTGGATGTGCACGATTTATTTTCTTTTGCATGTTGAACCACTAATTCTCAAGAGAACTGGGCATATCTCTGTGTGTCTCCTCTGTCAGGTAATGCAGCCAGCTCTCACCAAGTGCCCCACAGACGCAGGGAACTACAAATACCATAATTCTTCTCTAGAATCATAGAATAGTAGAGATGGCAGGGGCCAAGAAGGTCATCGGTTCCAACCCCCCACTGTTGCAGGACACCAAGTCACACCCTCCCACCCAGAGGGCTGTCCAGTTTCTTTCTGAATGTCTTCAGTGTGCGACAGCCCCCCACCCCTCCAGGCAGCTGGTCCCACTGTCGTGTTGCTCTGGCAGTGAGGAAGCTTTTCCCGATGTCCAGCCTGAATCTGGGTTGTCACTGCTTGATTTATTATTCCGTGTCCTACACTCTGGTATCAGCCAGAAGAGTTCTTGACCTCTCTCTTTGTGGCAGCCTTTGAGGGACTTCTAGAGGGATACCATGCCCCCCCCCCCCCCAGTCTTCTCAAGGCTGAACATGCCCTGTTCTTTCAGTCTCTCCTCATGGGACAATGTTTGCAAACCCTGGATCATTTGTTTGCCCTCCTCTGGACAACAGGAAGCTTACAGGAGTGTGAGTCTGCTTACAAAAGCATGCTGCTGCCACATGTTTCCTTCCCAGTTCCCCAGTTTTTACCACCAACTCAGCCAATTTGCAGGGGCACGGGCTGCGAAGATGGCCGCCTTTGTGGGGCCATCTTTGACACCTGTGCCTGCCCAGAAGCCACGAACAGACTGGCATGGGGCTTTCAGCACAGTGTCCCTTCCTTTCTCACTTTCTCCAGCCGGCTGCGTGCCTGGCACAGCCAACACCAGGCACACGACCCTCCACCTCTTCTATGCAGGAAGCCTTTGGTTCCAACTCCGCAGCACAAGGGCTAGTTAATGTTCAATGTGCGTATCTGTAAGGCAGATTCCATTTTGGCCAGGGGAAGAGGGGCATGGAGGCATCAATCGCAGCTATGCTCATGACACATCTTGTTTCCATAGCTTCTTCCTGAGCTGTGTAAGCAGTTCCGAGGCAATTGGATGTTGGACGTTTTGCTTTCCCCACACCTGTGTATCTGGAGATCAGCAGAGCTTGGCTCGGCGATCAATAACAGCATGTCATCTTATGTATACATGCCAGTAAGGGAAATATAAACGCCACTTTTTTATTGGGTTGAATTCCGCTTGATCACAAAACAAGACAATAGCCCTCTTGTAACAGGATGGCGGAAGAACAGTGCCTCTTGAGGTTTGGTTTCTTCCTCTTGGGCGGGAGAGGACATGGCATTCCTCATATTATACATGCAGCTCTGGACTTAATTATTTTTAAGATCACTGCATTATTTCAGAGAATTCAAGGCAGCTGATAAATCCAGAAATGACTGAGAGCTAAAACTAAATAGCACACAGAGACTTTTCTTTCTTGCAATTTAAGATTCTTTCCCTTCTTCCCATCTACCTCTGTGGACAGTGGATGAAAGAGAATTAAACAAATACCTTTGCAGTTGAAAGCTGCACAAGCCAATGCTTCATCCTTCTAGCTCAGGATTTCCCAGTCAGCTTGGAAAATCAGATCCACACCCATCCCCAAATGTCTAAACGGAACCTGTTTCTTCTCTCAGCCCTGTAGGCACTAGGGGTTTTGTTTGTTTGTTTGTTTGTTTGTTTGTTTTTTAACACACACTCGTTTTGAATATTATGAGTGTGGAAAGCACTGGTACCTCAGAAGTTAAGAGAATGGATTCTGCTTATGCTATTTTGAAGCACCACCAGTTAAAAGAAACGTAATTTGGTAGACTACAATTCTTGTGACTCCTTTCACCTGTATAGATTGATATGCACAAATTCCCCCAGGCTGAGGTTTGACCCTTGTTCTTTTTTCCAAAAAGGGTATGAAGAACAGCTTCAAACGAAATGGTTTCCTTAACATAATCAGTACATTTTATTTATTTAAAGCTTTTATATACCGTCCCATTACTGATGACTCAGTATATTGCATGCTAAGCTTCTTTTGGAAGTTTTTAGACTGGATAGATCTTGGGAATATTCCAGCTGACCACAGATTGGTTTTAGACCTGGATGTTCTTTCCTGAGGCTTGTTGCAAAGGATGGGATAGAAATGTTTTAATTAAATTAAATTAATTACATTCTAGATTGGGTTCTAATTTTGCACCATTAGGTGGAGAAATGCACAAGTAAGCCAAAGTCTTTGCTGCAGCATTCGTTAATTTTAAAACAGCTTTCTATTCTTTATCCTGAACAAAATCTTTATTTATTTATTTATTTATTTATTTATAACATTTTTATGCTGCACCCATCGCAAAAAGCCTCGGGGTGGCTTACAAGGCAGATAAAACATAGAATAGGATAACATTAAAAATTCGGAATATCTCTGCCAGAATGTAAAACCAATAAATAAGAACAACAAATTAACAATTAAAATATCATTTAAATAAAAAGGTCTTGGCCTGGCACTGAAAAGCAAATAACGACGGCGCCAGGCGGGCCTCTCTGGGGAGCACTCTCCATAGGGGAGAGCGCATTCCAAATCTTCAGGCTCTGAAGTGGCCACTGCTTTATAGGAACCCCACCTTTGAAATCAAATGCAGTCCTTCGGTTCCGCGTCCTGTCAGTCTCAGCCTCTAATGGCGTTCAGCCAGGCTGCATTTGTGCTCCCTTGTTATTTAAGGACTTTGTGAGACTCTGCAGTAAGTGTTCTTAGCCACCCTGATTTCTGTCCATGAAGCGACATAATGGGCATCCAACTGTGTTGCTGCAACTCTGCTTACACAGAAGTGAGAGACTTTCTTGGTGCGAGGAGAGAATTACCAAGCAACCCTGTCACAATGGGCATTTGCATATAAATAATAAAACAAAACAAAAAAAAATAGTGGTGACCTTTGCTAAAAAAAATCAAAGTTATATAACATGGAATATAGCGATTAATGACAAAGTAACCTGTGATATTAAAGTGAGAAAAGGCATATAAAGAAAAATAAGTTTAATGAGATTTGGGGCCCATTTATTGAGCATGTTTTGGAAAAAGATAAAGGAATTGAACCATCAAAAGAATTGTTGCCATTTCAGAAGGGGGAAATGTCCTGAAAGAACGCTTGAACTCTAACAAGTATCCTATGAATCCAGTGGTAGAGGGCACAGTATTTTAAAGATTTATTAAAATTGTATGTTAATTTTATATGCTTTTCCTTTAGTAGTAATTCTTTGCTTGGTTGTATTTTAGTTGGAAAAATTAATTTTTGTGAAAAAAGATCAAAGCTCTGTAAGTGG